AAGAATTATTGCTTTGACACTGGTGATCTTTGCATCTTCCAGTATACTGGCATTAGTTCGCCTGTCTTCCCAAGTGATGTGTAAAAAATTTTGGAGACACCATTGTTGGAATTTTTCAAGGAATCGGAGATGGCGTTTAGAAGTGATTCATGTTTCACAAGCATACAGTAAGGTTGGTAGTACAATAGCTTTGTAAACAAGCATTTTGGTTTCTCTGTGAATGTCCTAGTCTTCAAACACTCTGCACTTCAATCAGGAGAAAGCTACACTCGCAGAGCTCAGGCAATGCTGGATTTTGGCATCAGTGTTGGCCCTTGTGGAAAGTTAACTGCCCAGGCAGGAGAAGTGATCAACTCTTTCCAGCGTTACATCACTGAGTTGGATTTGTGGTGCTGCAGAGGGGTTTTGTGCTTGTAGGTGAAGCACTTTGGTTTTTTGGATGTTGAGCGATAGGCCAAGCTTTTCGTAAGCTTCTGTGAAGATATTTAAGATGGTCACCCAAGGCGGTAAGGTCAAAGGGGAGGAGCTAAACACCTAAGTTTATTAACAGTACCATTTACATCCCCCCACCCCAATTTTAGCTGGCTTTGCCACTGCAGCAGATAATGACCAAATCAAGTATTTTAAAATAAACTAAGTCTTTAAAAAGGCAAATCGTTCAAGAAGTTCCGTTAGAGCCCACTGAGAGAACACATTTTTGGACGACAAGTCTATTTACAAATAACTAAGAACTAAAACTTGCTTACCAAGGCACCAATGAATTTAACTTTATAAACAGTTTGTTCCCAGGAAATGTTCTCTAAACTATGTATACATGGTTGGACTGGGAAGAGGCAACGTTCTAGCCAACAGTTTGGCTCCTAACTTAGTTAGGAGATAGCATGATGTAAACATTCAAATAAAACTAAATCCATAACACTCAAATAAGTTTACAAAAATAAAGAGATACTTGGGTAGAAACGTGCGAACCACACTTCTGGTGTGTATACATTTTAACAGTATTTGTAATAATTAAAACACTTGGAGGAACGAGTTGGCTAAAGTGATGGTGACATTGATGACATTGAACTTTGTGGCCATTAAACTTTGTGGCCTTTGCTTGCATAAGAAATCTGTGCCACAATACACTTCACTTGTAACGGTTTGATTTTCGTCTTAGAGACAAACAGAAAAAGTCTTCACTGAGAGCTGCATATAAGCACCCAGTCTCTTCTAGGTGGTGTCAAATAAAATGACTTTCTGGGAGAACACATGCTCTTCATCCAGAAGGCAAGACTGGACAGCACAGTTATCCTGCAACACTACCTACCTATTTCAATAAATAAAAGCAATTAAAACTGAATACATAAAAAGCAGGACCCCCCCCCCTTTTGGAATGCGGGAACAACAAAGGATTTGTGCCTTTGACAATATGGGATCATTCAAGAACACAGTATATGCAATTCAAAGCACAAGAAAAGTGCCTGTTCTATTCTGGGAACACATTTAGATATATTTATTTGCAGTGGCATTGTCTGCAGTACATTCTGAACTCTTTGCACTTTGTCTAGAGGCTTGTTTTGAGTGAAAACATCCCTCTCCAATGCAAACTATTTGCACCCCCTTTTTCCTGGGGTGTACGTCCAGTCTCTTTCAAAACAGCATGGCTCCCTTGCCAACAACCCCTTGGTGATTTATGGCTTCCCGGTGGACTAAATGCCTTTGCCCAAACAAACAAAATTGTTGAAATAAGGATGAAATTATATTAGGGGCTCTCTGGTAGCGGCGACAAACGTAAAGAAACCAGAGGCTCCAAACATGGATTTCTTTAGGCTGCCTATCATTGCTTTTAACCACAACTAGGCATCTATCAAGGGATACTCCCTTCCTCAGCTGCTGTGGAAGAGAGGCTGTGATTTCTATGCCCATGGGATTTCGAGTTGAGGAAAAGAACACAATCCTTCCACTTCCTTCCTTGTTCCAAACTCAAGGACTCCATTCGTTCCTCCAGTTCCCACTTCAACAAAGCCAAACACATTCCAGCTGCAAAGTGAAAGAACCTTGCCTCGGCCACTTTCAGCAGATGTGATTAAATTTGAAGCCATCTCTTAGGACCAGTTTGCACATGGATGCTCACCGTTCACTGACCACAGCAACAAACCTTGGCTCGCAGATGTGCTATGAGTCATCGTAGCTTCCCCACCAGGGAAAGAACTTCAGTTTGGACTCAATACCTTTCCACGGGACACCGTTCACATGTTAGCGTGAGGGCCTTCAAGTGATGAGCATGCGTGGATGTAGAAGTACTCAGAAGCTTGAGGGGGCATTATGTATCTGGCCGCAACACAAGACTTTTGCAGCACAGGTGATCCTTATGGAAATGGGCACATAAGGAGACAGGAAGAAAACTTTTTATACTTCTACGATACGATAATCTACGATAATCTTTATTGTCATTGTCCCATACAGAACAACGAAATTGGAAAATCTACATAAGACATTCAAAACCCAACAAGCCTGCTATCCCAACCTGGTTAGCCCCCTAAAAACTCTGATACCCCATTTTTAAATACAATATACTCCCATACAAACTCCTTACAATGCATTTAAAACCAAAATCCCATTGGGTAGAAACTGTTTCTCAGGTGGCTAGTCCTAGTCTTTATAACCCTGTACCTTCTTCCAGAAGGAAAAAGCGGAAAGAAATCATTTCTGGGGTGTGCACTATTCTGCGCTATTTCTGCAGCTTTCTTATGACACCTGGAAGCATAGATTTGATCCAAGGTGGGAAGAATGCACCCAATTATTCTCTCCGCAGTCTTTACAACCCTGGACAGCATTGTTTTTCCCCTGACTGTGAAGGTGACTGGCAGACAAGATGCAAGTAAGGAATCTTGGGAAGGGGGCAGAGATAAGCCTAGAGATAAGCATACACCCCTTGCTAATAAAAGCAGTAATAGAAGTGGCTACAAATTCGTGGAGGATAAGGGCTGCTGATGGCTACTAATCCTAGTAGCTGTGTTCCATCTCCAATGTCAGGCAGTACACTTTTGAATACCAGTTGATGGGAACCAGAGGAAGGGAGAATGCTCTGAGGAGCACATAGTGTAGGAAGTATCCTTCCAGTGCACCATGATGGAAAGACTCATTGCAAACAAACAAGGGAGGAATGGTTATTAAAACGACAAGACTTAGCTGAGATGGCAAAACTGACATGTTCAATCAAGTCGTTGTCAACATTTACTAGATTGGAAACCTCTCAGACTTTTTGTGTTGAAAAGAAAAAGAAATGGTATTTGGGTTTGAAGGTTGACGATAACGTTGGTTATCTATAGAAAGTGGTCATCCTGGGTGTTTTACTGGAGTGGATGAGTTGAATAATGCTGACTGACAAAGAATCGAAAGTTCTTTAGTTTCTTAACTTTTTTTTTCTTTCTCTCTCTTTAATTTCTTCTAGCTCTATTTCTCTTTCTTCCTCCCTTCTTTTTCCTTTCTTTTTTTGATGGATCTATGTTTTTATTTTATCTAAATTAATATTTCAGTCTGAACAAAAAAAGATACTTTATTTTGAAAATCTAATAAAATTTATCTCCCCCCACCCCAAAAAAAAATAGAAAGTGGCCTTAAAGTGAGTCAGATCAATGGTCCATTTTGTTTAGTGTTGTCTATGTTGCCTAGGAAAGATAGAAATTGGGCTTCAAACTCAAATCTTTGTTTCTGATCCTCTTTTGCTTCTCTGCACCATAGTTAAGAGAAGGGACGCGGGTGGCGCTGTGGGTTAAACCACAGAGCCTAGGGCTTGCCGATCAGAAGATCGGCGGTTTGAATCCCCACGGCGGGGTGAGCTCCCGTTGCTCGGTCCCTGCTCCTGCCAACCTAGCAGTTCGAAAGCACATCAAAGTGCAAGTAGATAAATAGGTACTGCTCCGGTGGGAAGGTAAATGGTGTTTCCGTGCGCTGCTCTGGTTTGCCAGAAGCAGCTTAGTCATGCTGGCCACATGACCCGGAAGCTGTACGCCGGCTCCCTCGGCCAATAAAGCGAGATGAGCACCGCAACCCCAGTTGGTCATGACTGGACCTAATGGTCAGGGGTCCCTTTACCTTTACCTACCATAGTTAAGACTAACCACAGTAGCAGGTTTAGAAGTAACAAGGCATGATTTGTATAAAATCGAATCAGAATCTTCCAGTTTCCTTCCCATGCCCATGCTGCCATTTGTTCATGTAAAGCTAAACCATAGTTTAGCATTACATTTGAACCAAGTCAGTTTGTGGAACTAAGTACAGTACTGATGGAGACCATTCTTCTTTGCTAAAAACTCATCTGGCTAAAGTACAACTTTTTTTTAACGTAACATTGGGGAAGTAACACCTTATGTCCATGCAGCTGAACAAATTTTCACACCATTTTAAGGGTTTCTCATTCCCAGCTCCATTTAGCCTCCTGAATTCTGCTGTGAAGCTGATGGAAAAATAGGCCTAGTGAATTTTTAAATGTTTAAAAACACCGAGAGCTCAAGCACTCCTTGAGTAGCTTGCTCCTAGCCAAAGCCTCTCTCAAGAAGCTGGAATGAAACATCAGCACCAACATGCAGTAGTTTTGTTACTTTGATCTACAAAGAGAACTGAAATAAACCACTTAAGCTAATCATGGAAGTTACTCGTTTTTTTACTCAACTACCTCCGCAAGAACTGGATGCATGTGCTGACACACCACATCAAATAGAAACAGGCACCATTAATAAAAAAGAGAAATTATGCCCCCCCCCACTCCAGTCACTTAAGAGGCTCCAGATAGGGTTAAAGGGTGTAACTCATTTTTCTATACTTTGTTTAAAAAATATAGGGGGCAGATTTTAGATTACGTAGCAGACATTAAGCAGAGTTAGAACTTCATTATCTTATTTTTTAAAAAACAACAACAAAAACAACCACCCTAAAACAGACATTAAAATCAAGTGTGGTCTAGCACGGGTTTGTGTTTGTGTGTTAACCCTTCCCTCAACCATTGCAGTCCTGAAACACACATACACACACACACACACACAGCAATGGGTAAAATGGTTCCTTTGGAACCAATGGGAGGTTTTGTTCCTCTTGCTCTTTGCAGTGTGTGTGTGTGTGTGTGTGTGTGTGTGATATTAAAGATAGTGATGGGGAGGGGAGGGTTAAAGCTCCCCTCCATACAAACTGTGATCCCTGTCCAGACTGCTCCCCAAATACACTTCAATGCCTAGTTTTAGCAATTGTGGCAAGCCACACATTTTGCTTGGCCCTTAAACAATTCCTTGAGTCCCACTCCCTCTACAGAACCCCCTGAGAGGAATGAACGAGTGAGGCAAAGGATGCAAGTATTCTTTTGCACCTGCAGTCCCCAAACTGAGCTAGAATAATCTCCTCAAAATTTCTCACAGCCAGCGGAGGAGGATTTAGGAACGTTTCAGGCATTAATCTGTCCACAGGGGTGGAGAAGTATTTAAGATTCCTAGAAGCCAGTACAGTATCCCCTTTAAAGGTCCCCATCCTTTTTATAGCCCTGAAATTAACTCTATGGCAAGCACAGGACTTCAAGCTGATTTCTGGTAGACAATCCTGCAAGGTCAGCAGATTGCAGTGTTTGGTTTCAGTAGCTGGGCCTCACCCTAGATGGGAATGGAGCATCCAGCTTCTTCATTTGCAGCCCCCAGTTAGAGAGAAAGAAAGAAAGAGAGATTCCTTCTTCCCATTCTGTTGCTTCCCTTGCCCTGACCTCAGGTAGATTTGGGACATTGGTTCTCCCTGTCATGACAATGGAATTGGTTCAGCAGTCACCCTCAATCGTTTCCAACTTGGATCTGGACCTGTACTTCCCAAAACCTCCAGAAGATGGAGTTGGTGAATGGGTAGGAAAATAGCTTTAAAAACTAGGCTGGCAAGTAAATTTTGAGGGCTATGTTTTGACTTGAGCAAGGGCTTAAAATGACCTGCCACACTGGCTCTTCCCACCTTCTCCCTTGGGAGTCAAGACTTGGGCAGAGGGCTCTTTACGCCTCTCCATGGCGAATCGAACAGCAACCAAAGTTTTGGCAGGAGGGCTGGTGGTATGACATATTCTGCTAATGCGTGAATGTGGTACAGCCCTGCATTGCTCCTGCAATGCAATTGTCCTGGTGTCATTGCTGCAGAAACTCAGATAAATAAGCAAGGCACTAAATGGCTCCTTATACCAAACTTACAGTGGCCAAAATGAAATATCTAGTTGCCATTTGGGGGGCAAGATGGCTCTAAAGTCTTATTTTTCAAATGATGGGCTGACCGATAGCAAGTGGCCAATGGCTACTTTTTAAAATTGCTAATTAAAAAAATATTTTTGAATACTTTAATGTCTGTAAACTGCCGTGTCTGTCTACAAATTCTGTTAGGAGAAGTAAAGTATTTTAACATATTTTCACAGATTGTCAGGAATATCTAACCATATCTTCCTACCCAATCCTTGGTTTATTAAAGAGGCATGATTTAACTACTTTTTTATTTTCCCACTATTCTGGAGATGAAGAACAAAAAGGGGATGAAGTAAAAAACCAATTGACTTTGCGCTTAAGGAAACAATCATACAGTCAAGGTTTTTTGTTGTTGTTTTTTAAAACAAAACACATATGCATTATGATGAAATTAGGGCATGAACTACTTTCTGGACCTGTCTTGCCTTAGGTAAAGAAACCTGACCTTCTCTTTAACAATTTTAACTAGCAAAAGATCAGCCTGTTGAGTGATTTTTTTAAAAAACACACCAAGAACATGCTTTATCAGAAAGGGCAACTCTGTTGTCATGCTCATTCCAACTTAAAAGCTGTTCATCAAATGATCCGAGCTTGTAACAAAAAAGGAGGAGTAGAATAATGCTACAGGACGAAACAAAAACCCACACCCTTTTAGGGAGTTTCAGAGTTTTAATCAGATTAAGTTATAAATACAATTGTCAGTCAAAACAGCAATTATAACATTTCTTGAATTTAGTTTGAAATCTTTGGCAGAGACCCACAAAGGCTAGGCATAAAACACCTTTTTTAGAGACTATCTGTTTCTCGATGCCTCATAGGGGTGTATGCAACAAAGTCATCCAGTTTGTGCAACAACTTCTGCTTCAACTCCATCTCCCTCCACCCGTCACACACTCTAAATCTGTTCTGGGACCCCCTCCAACCCTTTAAAGCAAATTTGAGGGAGATGCAGGGGCATGCAAAGATGACTGACAGGCCAAAGACACTCAGTAAGTTTCATGACAGAGTTCCGTTAATAGGTAGCAGCCTGCTTCAATCTTAGCTCTCTTTTGCAGCGTTGTAAATAGAAATGATTCTGCAGTTGAAAGCAAGAGGCATCTGTTGAAGCTTCTTCGGTTTTCCTGTTTACCAGTGCAAGGAATTTAAGAGTGCGAGAGGAGCCTGTGAGATCAGGCCAATGGTTCATGTGGTCAAGCATCTTGGTCTCACACTGTGGCCAAACAGACGCTGATAGTAGGACCTGAGCCCATCAAGTGGCGTACGGCAATTTACTCACTAGTAGTGAATGTTCCTTACAGTGAAAAACATTTATTGTTTCTTCATATATTTTGGTTCAGCAACATCCGTCTATGCTGCACTCAGACCAGAGAACACCAGAATATAACAGCAAGCCCAACATTACTCAGAAGCATCAACCAAGTAGAACTTTTTTTCTAATAGCTAATCTAGGCGGCCGTTACAGAATAGTTATTTACACAACCAATTGAAGCAGGTAGTTTATATCCAAGTTCAGAATAAAAGCCACAAGTTTTGTATTATTTATTCATACTGTTATTCAATTTATATCATACGCTTTTCCTGAAACAGCAAACAGATCAAATAGTATTATTATTTTGCAAAAAAAACAGTTAAAGACATTCTCGGAACCAACCATTTCAGGGTGGCCAGGAATAGCATCTTTTGGCCATCGGAACCCTGGGTAAACAAAATGTTTTAGAATTCTTCCTGAAAGTCCACTGAGGGAGACTGACACATCTCACCAGGGAGGGTGTTCCTACTGAGAAGGCCCTGTCACGAGTCACACCAACTAGGCCAGGGCTGAAGTTGGTTAAAATTGTAAGGAGGGTCCCTTGCTGTAGAAGATCAGACTATTATTTTTTTTTTACACTTCGCCACATGCTGCACATCCCTGGGGCACATCTCTACACACTCCAGCTTGACACAGCACAACTGGAGTAGGAGGAAATGAGCCTAAGCAGTTGCAGCGACAATGAGTGAGGTGTCAGTGGGAAGCTTTGCCTAACAAATTCCTATTCTTGAAGGTTAAAAATCCCCCCAGGACTGGGTCTGAATGCTATAACAAAGCCTGTCTCCCGCTCGCCCCTCAAAAGCAGCTCCAGAGATTAGCAACACAACCGAGAACCTAAGAAGAGCTCTGTTGGATCAGGCCAAAGGAGCATCTAAGCCAGCATTGTGTTCGCAAGGTGGCCAGCCATAGGATTATGGGAAGCTGGGAAGAAGCACCCTCTCCTCTTGCATTCCACAGCAACTGGTATTTGGAGCCACATTGCCTTCTATGCTGGAAGGTTAATACAGAGTCATCACTTGCTGCAGCATCTTTGGAGAAAGCAGTGAGGCACAATCCATGCGGACACAGCAACAGAAATGCGGGGAGGGTGTCAAGGGCAGAAGGAAGGGGTTAAACCCTGTGTTTCCCAAACAACTGTGGCCCAGATTAAAATGCAGGGGGGTGGGGAATGACTGCTATTATTCGTTACAGTCATACCTCAGGTTGCAGACGCTTCAGGTTGCGTTTTTTTGGGTTACAGACCCGCCGAAACCCGGAAGTACCAGAACGGGTTACTTCCGGGTTTCGGGGGTTGTGCATGCATGAAGTGCCGAATTGCAACCCGCGCGTGCGCAGACAGGCTGCTGCGGGTTACGAACGTGCATCCCGCACGGATCATGTTCGCAACCCGAGCGTTCACTGTATTTAAAATGCAACAGCCAGTGGCATATCGAGGAGCTCTCCGGACAGGAGTTTATACAAGACCTTCCTGGAACTGCCGTGGATTGAACCTAGGACCTTCCTGCAAAGCAAGGCATGTGCTGCATCACAGTACTATTGCTCTTCTTGCCAAACTATCCAAACATCCATGCTGCTCCGAGAGCCTTTTTGGCTGATGAGAGGGGTACAAATGCTCTAAATATCTTGCTCCCTCTTATTCCTGTGTCCGACTGCACCCACACAATTTTAAGTCTGTAAACCAAAGTTTTGCCCACCTCCTACAAAATTACCTTAGCTAACCTTCCCAGGTAGTTTCAACTATGTCATCAATCATTGAGAGCAACTTCTGCCAGTACCATGAATTCACTGCAATTATCATGCTTTTCCAAGGTGTATCTTGTCCTAACCTCAGCTGAACCACCACCACCTCCCCTCCCGGTGGCAGGAGGAGGATCTGATGCGCAAAAAGACAAATCTCCTCAGGCATATTTCTGCGCTTCTTTGAAAAAAAAACCCAAGGAAGTAAGTCACAACAAATGTTTAAATACTTTTGTGAAAAGCCACTGAAGTCTAGTCTATGCACAGAGATCAGCTACATCATTTAGTTGCTGCTTACTTGGCATTCGTGAAAATTGCTTAGCATTCGTGAAAACCCCAAACCTGGAATCAGGACTCCAGTTTCTCTAAGGCCAGTGAAAACGACATGTGCTGCATAAAAAAAACTATAGATAACAGAATGACATGGGAAGGGCATGTTCCACATAATCACATCAATCATGCTTTTATTATTGATTTAAAGGAATTTCCTTTACTACACCTTTATCCAAAATGGTGAATAAACATTTTTAAATCGTATAATCCACAAAACAACATTAAAAGCAACATAAATCATTAAGCAAAAAAGATAACCCAACTGAATGGAAGGGAAAAAACCACTCAACCACCCGCTTCAACTATCTAGGCAAATAAAGACTTTTTAAACTTGGTGCCAGGAGGAATACAGCATAGATGCCAGGCATATCTCTTTTGGGAGAGCATCCCAGAGTCAGGGAGAGGGGGCTGCCACAGAGCAAGCCCTCCCTTTTGTATAAGCATAACGTATTTCCTCCATGAACCAGAGCAGGAAAGGATTCAGCCTAAAGGAATGGC